GATGTCTCAGAAAACGTTTTGTTAGATTATTAGATGCAGATAATCCATCAATGAATCTATAAATGATCAATTCACTAAAGGAATTCTGTAATTGTATTTTAATACAATAAAATGTTTATTTTCTTTTTTTTTAAATAGATTTGAATTATTTGTTTTTATGCATTTTAAAATTTATTTCTAATATTTTATGGAAGAAAACTAAGTGGATAAATGAAAAATCTGCAGAATTTACCAGTTTTATCACCAAACTAATTATCAAAATAATTCATATAATCATCAATTAATAAAATAATCATTCGTTGTAGTTTTAAACATGACATGGATTTATGTTTAAAATCTATTTCTGTTCATTTTCTGCTGATGAAAACATGACACATCATATCTGACTAATAAAAACTTATTTTAATTCAGAAATGTATTTTAATGTTGTTTCCTTTTAATCTGACTAATAATAATCTAATTTGCTGAATGTTGCTATTTCTGGACTTCATGCTGCAGATTGATCACTTTTAGATTCTTAATGGATTAAATTTAGTTCATTTAAGTGTTAAAACTGGTTTTGTTGTTACTCTGAGCTACAGCTGTGGAAACGGATGCAGAGAATCTGAGGAATAAAAGTCATAAAGAGACACGTCAGGTGAAAACCTCCTGCATGGTTCATTAGCAGCTGAATCTGATGGTTTACATCCTGCTGCACATTAAGCAGGAGGAGGAGCGGCTGATGAGGCGTGAATGACGCGCTGCTTTGATTTATTTAAATTAAAATCAAAGCGACTTGAGCAGCAGCTCTGATCAGAGCAGGTCATCAGTCTGCAGAAACACCGTTCAGGTCCACAGGAAGAGCAGAAAATTAAATATCTGGACGATACGGAGGCCATTTTGAACAAACGGGCGATAATGTTCATCCATCCGTAGCAGGAACAAATAAACATACACACACACACACACACACACACACACACACACACACACACACACACACACACACACACACACACACACACACACACACACACACACACACACACACACACACACACACAGTTCAGAAACGAGCTAACAGTCACTTTTCCAGAATGAAACTGGAGTACCCAGGGAGAGCCACTCATTCACAGAGAGAACATGGAAACAGATGGTCTAATTTAATCCACTTCATTCATTTTTGTTTTCTTGCATAAATTTTAACTCAATATTTGAAAAAAATTAGAGGCCATAAATTAGCAAATGTCATCTGAAAGGAGATAAAAACAATATTTTAATTTTCAATCAAAATCAAATCAAGTAAAAAACAAAGTCAAATATTTTACACTAATTATTTTTTTCTGTTTCTTGCTGCATACTTTAAAGCGCCAGGATTAAAGTGTTTCCCAGGCACAGAGCATCATTGTATAGCAGGTAAGTATGTATCCTCCAGTTGTTATAAAAATGCCACTTATATCAAATATGACTCATGAATTTGGGTCTCTGTCTCTTTAAGACGCTCTTGCTCTTTCTGAAACTCCGCCTCCTTTAACGTTTTTACACAGCAGCTCCTGTAATGAACTCAGGTGTTCCACCAGGTGTTTGCTAATTGTTGCTGGCTAGTCTGAAAGAGCTGAGCAGCTTTGAGGAGGAGCTTTGTCTCGAGGGCGGGGCTAGGTCCATTCAGGCATTTTGCACAGCTGACTGGTTGCAGGTGTGTTTCTGATCAGGGAAGGACTTTAAAACATCATGGAAAGATTAAACAAAGTTGACTTTACATGATACTGCCTCTTTTTGTTCATAATAATTACTTACTGAAACTTTCAGGAACCAAAATGAAGGAATTTAAAAATTGATGCAGATTACAGTATAGAACCAAATCTGAGCTGCTTCCAGTTTCTGTCAGTGTTTGTGATGGTTTTAGTTTCTCATCCCTGCAGTGATGCATAAAGTTCTGAAGCTTTTGCTGCAGTTTCCTTCATTAGTGACCTGAAGCCGACTTCCTGTTTGTTCACCACTGAAACTATTGATCCGTATAGATTTATTCAGCTTCCACACCTCCAGGCAGCTGCTGTACAAAGCATGCATGTGGCTACAGCAGCATCTTTGAAATCAACACAGGCTAACTTCTCAGTGACTGAGCCGTGAACACAATTAGAGATCATTTTCTGCATCGATCCACGGTGACTGGCAGGGCAGCAGGTGAGACCTGAGGACGGACTCAGCCCAAACACTTCCTGTTGTTTTATCAGCGAGTGGCCCAGAGGAGCTCCTTGTTTCCTGATCAGTGAGATCCAGAGCCTCCAGGAGAGGGGAAGGGACAACAGAGGAATATATGATGAGGAGGGATTGGCTCGGCTCCAGACACAGAGAGAAATCACCGGGCGGAGCGATGAATTCATGAGTTTGACGCTGATGGTTTGCAGCACAATCTGCCTCCCCCAAACTCAGCAGGAAGTCTCTTTTCATGTCTCTCCGTCTCCATCTGTCTCTGCCTCACCCCTTCCTCCTCCACCAGCTTCTAATTGGCAGGAAGATCGAAAAGTTAAATTCACCATCTGTGTGGCAGAAAACAAGAATATGAGGAAGAGGAGGAGACGTGAGTGTTGCTTTAAGAGATAATCCACACAAATGGTCAGACTGGACGAGGCTCTCCAAAGCTGTTGAGACTGAAGCTGTAAATAATATTAGAAAACCCTATTTTTATTTTTTGAAGTTAGATTTCTTCAGTCCAAAAGCTCTGCAGATTATATTGAAGTGATCTGTGACTCCATTCGATCCGGGCGTATTGGCAGCAGGTTTCATACCAAATCTATTTTGTAGACATGAGGAACAAAGTTTCTTCTTCTTTCTGTTTTCCCCGCTTGGGATATTTTTTCATAATCTACCTCCTTTTTTGAAGCAGCATTTCAAACAGCTGCCAGTTAAATTTGTGCTGCACAGCTACTTTTTTATGACCTCAGAGGTTCATAAAGAGCGATAAGCGCTTCTGCGTCGACATGTTGGGAAAGTCTGGCCCACAGACAGGAAACAGGATGGGAAATAGCACTGACTTGTAATATCCTGCAGTAATTTACAGACTGAAAGTCGACCTTCATTGATGAGAAACTGTGAGATTATCTGGTGAATTTCTGACATCATAAACTTTTATTTTCAGTCCTTGCAAAGTCACCCTCTCTATCTTCACACTAATTGCTTCCTTCTCCCTGAATTATTCTGTCCTGAATCAAATGATTAATATTCCTCGTGACCTTTTTTGTTTAATTAACATCTTCATATAAAATATCACTTAATCTGGCATTTTCTATTTTCATTGCAGCGATCATATATCTGCCATCACTGCAGCGTGTCGCTCAGACTGGATGCTGATGGTGCGGAAAGACGTTAGACGGTGTCATAAAGCTCAGCAGACAGAAAACGCCTCCGAGCGTGAGAGCAGGACGAGGGCGAAGCATTAAAATCTTAACTCCCATAAAAACAGTCTCCACTCTGGTTTTATGTCTTTACATCTCCATCATCATCAGCAGCATCATCACTTCTGAGAAATGAATAGATGCTCTGCTGTTTCAGAAACGAGTCATGGCTCCGGTTAATGTTTTCATCTGAATAAATCTCTGAGCTGATGCTGTGACAGACAGCTTTACTTCAAATTCATATCTTTCATTTGCAGTTCAAAAATTTTGACTCAAATTCAGGTTGTTCAGGCGAATGCTAAGGGTGCACACTTCTGCTAATGTACTGATAGCATAGTTGCATTTTGATCAGCATTATTGGCAACTTTGAAAACATTTAGCACAATTAGTTTCCGCTAATTGTTCCAGCAGGAAATGATGTTTAAAACAGTAAAAAATCTACTGATACTGGGTTTTTTTCTGAATGAAGGCCTGCCGTAATCAATTAGGCCGTAATCAATTAGGCTATATTAGCAATGGCTAGCGGCTAGCATCTAGCTAGCCGCTAGCCCCGCCAGGCTCGCTAGCCAAACATGGCGCTAATTAATATAGCCTAGCTTGTGCGAAGTTAACTCGTTTGGCTGCTTATTTCTTACGTTTTTCCTGCATTTTTACCGAGGTAGGTCATTTCTGCCTTCACAAATTTATGTTGCTATCAAAGTTTTGCTGTTCCAGTTTATAAATTAGTGCGGTGTTTAATGTTTACAGGTTAAATCGCGTAACACCAAGGAATGAAGCAAAGATAAGTGAACTGTTTGAGCTCATTAGATGTAAGAGGAGAATCTTAATAACCGGGTTATTATTGTATCCCAGAATACGTTGATATATTCTGTCTTTTTTGTCCCATATGAGGGAATTCAGGTGTAACAGCAGCATCAGGTATAAAGGTTTACACAAAAAAAGTGTTAAAACCAACATAAAATAGAATAGCAGTATTTGTAATAATATATGTAACAGAAAATGCTGTGCAGTCATTAGTAATAGGAATGTCAGAACTGAATCAGATCACTTTTTCAAAAATGTAAGTTTATTAAATGTCATTTCATGCAATTACTTCTAAAAATGCAGGATGACTCAGCTCAGCATGCTGCATGCTAAAATGTTTCAGCACATTTTCCTGCCACTTTAACACATTGCAGTCCAGTTATCCATCAGTGGAAGAGGTGATACGTTCTGCATCCAGAAAATAATTTCATACATTATACATCTGAATAAATTCATTACACACAAATATCTTGAAAGACGTCAAAGAACAGGATAAAATCAGTTGTTTTGGGTTTCAGTTGCGCCTGAAGATTCTCTCTTCAGTTGAGCTTCTTGTTTTTCTGCAGATAAATGAGTGAATTCGCTCTAATTACAGTTTCAGGTTGACTGAGCAGCAGGACAGCGACTCCTCGCCTCCCCAAAGGTTGCATAACGAAGATGAACGAGGCGACTCGCCACACTTCACACCTCATTCAGAGAGCAGATTAATTACAGTTAATCATATTGGATGAAGAGTGGATCGGCTTCTGATTGGCCGTCGCTTTGATGCATTACAGCGTCAGAGAAAATCAAACTCCATCTTTCAACACAAACCTGAGGAAGAAAACATCATTTTTATCTTATTGTGAAGATGTTTCCTCTGAAGGAAGTGTGAGACATTTCTATCTACCTTCATTATTTACCAGATAATTGATCCATTGTAACAAACAACCACAAAGATCAATGAATTTTATATGACCAATACAAAATAGTGTGTAATTATTATGAAGTTGTTTTTGTTGAGACAAAATCTGAAATGTTTTCTTTAAAAAAAACCAAAAGGAATATAATTAATATAAATCAGGAAAAATAAACATTTTCTTCAATGAAAAACTTATGAAATTTTAAGAATAACTGCAGGTAGCCTTATGATAAATTTTAATTGTCCCAGAAATTATCGAGATAAACTAATATTGTTTTGAAACCATTTTTGAAGGGATATAATTGTAAATGTAAATAGTTGGACGTAGTAAAAACACTCCTGAAAGTAACTGGTTCCTGCCAAACTCTGCACATTGAAACAGATTTTGCTGGATATTTAGTCTCTGAAGGACTGAACAGACGGGCGTTCATGGCGTCAACGTGTCTCTTCTTGTCTCCAGGATTTGAAGGTGCGTTTGAGTCAGACTGACGAAACGCGGCCAACAAGCGCCTGACGCACCTGCCCGAAGCCACAACTCACACCTGATCCAGGTGAGTAACGGCTTCCTCACCAGCTCAGGTGATGATGTCATGTTTGACTCACTGATGATGTCAGCAGACTCACTTTAAAAACAGGTGGGACCATGTAAGGTAATTTAGGAATCTTGTATTATAATAATGAAACTAAAATCAAACTGCAAAACAACTCAATAACCTGAATCCTAAAAAGCTAAACTATTTCTGTTTCTACTTGGAAAAGCAGTAAGAACAACTATTTGTGAATCATTATTGTATATTTTGTATAATGAGTCCCAACTTCCCTCCATGATTATATAATTCAATAATACATCTTGTTTTTATTGATGCAGTTTAAACATTTTAAAGCTCCACAAACTGTTTCTGTCTCACAGCAAAAACACAAAATCTTTCCAAGTATTGATGGTTTGGTTTCCAGTATATTTGAAATAAGGCAAATTCAGTTCACAAGTACATTTCCAGCAGGAGATAGAAGCTTATTTTTAGTCAATAATTCCTTAATAGTGATAAAGAAGTTCATGTTCTACTGGCAGATTATTTTAGTTGTAACAAGACATTTTTTTTCATGTTGTGAGTGAAATAAACGGCAAATGGAACGACAATTATTTTGTCAATATTAAGGAATTGTTTATATAAAACGAGCTCCTATATTCTGCTGAGCAGTTAGTTTTGTCTTTTTTCGAATGCACTAATTTATTTGCACTGGAAGTTGAACCAAAGTTACCTGGTGAGGTTCTGTTTGCAGTGCTGATCCTGCACCATCCTGGATCTTTGTGGGAAAACTTGAAAAGAGCCAAACGGACTCGGTCTCCACTGTCTGTCTCGCTAACAGTTCCCTCTCCAAATTAAGCCACAGCTCCCAGCAGCCGCACTTCAAACACTTTCCAGCCGCGGGTTCCCCACATCATTTACATGTTTAATTAGACGGCAGCGGACCCCCTGCTGAGGCTGCCAGGTTCACCAGCAGGTTGCTGTTTGTCTGCAAGAACTTTCAGTTTCCCTGGACTAACGAATCCACTTTGGGATGCTTGTTTAGTTTGCAGCCATTTCTGGCATTTTCATCAAGTCACACAACTTTCACAGATTTGCAAAGACTCAGAATTTACTTAAGAATTGATCTGCTGAGGGATCAGGCTGCTGTTTGAAGAAACAACATATTCTCAAAAATTTGACATTTCAATTTCACTCCCTCCTCACAAAATGAACACTCACCAAATCCTGCATGAATAATTCATTTTTTATTCTATTTCACAGGAACAAAATGACTTCTGTCTGCAGAATGGACCGAACTGTCAGGTGATGGACTGGCTGGAAATGAAAAAGGCCCCAAGCTGCAGCAGGACAAGACAAGATCAGGCACAGAGAGTGAGTACTTCATCACAGACCGGTCAGCTCACCTGGGGACGAGTGTCCAGTTCCCCCACAGACACAAACTCACCTCTACTGGAAATGTTTTAACTGCATTATTAAACATCACCAACAATCTTCAAAATAAGTAAAAATTTGACAAACTTTTAGATTATCAAGACCAAAATGAAAACAGATTCTGGCGAGACCTCAACAGATAAAATCTTGCAGTTTTCGTAAGCTGGAAAAATCTGTATTTGTACTTAAAAACAATGTTTTTTCCAAGACTTCTCATATTACACAAGTATGAACTGCTGAGCCAGTAACCTGCATCACATCATGCAGGCTACAACAGTAAGCAAGAACTCAAATGAAATATTATTTATGATCACATGGATGTTAATCTGCCTCTGACTCTTTATGCATCAGAGGCAAAGTGTTCTCCAACACTCTGACCTCACAGGTGCATCACCCAAACCATCAGTCGAATGACCTGCAGCAGGTGAATCCCGGCGTCCTGTGAAAACCTGAATCAAAC